TTGATTGTTTGAATTGCTTTCTTTTCGTATGTTAACTTATATATGTCATGAGATGATCCAGTTCTCTAGCCCTTTCTTTCTCTGAAGAATAACAAATTGGGGAGCATTGCAAAGTTTTTAGTTTGCATTGAAATTATGTAATGGCGTGTTTTATATAGACACTGTACAAGATCACATATTCCTGTACTGTTTATGACATTACTGTATAAATCTTTTTTTGAAGAAGTCACAGTTATTAGAGTGTAGAACAGCAAGAGTTTTGATCAACAGGTTAAGCACTTTATTTGGGCTTGCTTTCAATTTTGATTCCGTGATGCTAACTATCATTATACGGCGTGAATCAGATGGAGATACTAAAAATTCCAAGATCGGTTGGAGTACATACAATATAAAACATTTGACTTCTATACCAGTTACACGTTTCTTTTTACTAAACTGAAAGACACATTGAATGAACTGAAAGAGAATGACCAGCGCAGATACACATATATTGTTTTTATAAGAGAAAAATTCGTAAGGGTTCCGCAGAACCCAGTGTCTCGCCGACTTTTGCTGTTAGTCGCAGGCTCAACAAAAATGGGGAAAAAATTATTAAAAATGTTCCTCTAGATACTATCATTTGATTGTAAGAAGCTTCTGTCCAAGTTTGGTAAAAATCCAGGATGGTTTATGAATCTAATAAATGTTTTAAAAACTTTAACTGCAGACTGTATGTAATGTTAACTGGAAGAAAAACTAAGTCCATTTATAAGTAATATATGGAAAAACAGGAAATAAATTTTTACAAAATTTCCTTCTAGATACTAGCTTTTGATCATAAACAAGCTTCTGTCCAAGTTTGGTAGAAATCCAGGATAGTTTAAGAAAGTTATTAAAATGTCAAAAACTTTAACCACAGAGTGAATATTTGTGGACGCCGTCGACGACGGAATGTATAGGATCTCTATGTCTCGCTTTTGCGACAAAGTTGCAGGCGCGACAAAAATCATACTTATTTAAAAAATACCACTGTGATTTAAACAAAAAGTTCTCTAAAATTAAAATCATTACGATGCTTGCTTTTTTACTGACAATAGATTTGTTACGTTTTATCCCAACTTGTTCTTTAATAATCGACGTTTCTAAGGGAAACAGCTGCACTCCACTTCTTGCCGACTAATTCCTTTATTCGTATAAGGAACACTTTATACAGGAGCTTTTCAAAACGAATGAAACAAAAGGACATTATTCTTGAACTTGACATTCCACTATAAAGATGATGTCCACTCGCGGAATATGTCAAAATTTAGTGACTTTGTTTACCATTTATCTAGAAATAAAGGGCAATATAAAGGATGTTAACCGATTATCATTTAATGGGACGTTGATATGATAGAGCCAACATAATGTCACAAGTGAAACAAATAACAGAGATCATATAACGATCAAACATAACATAAGTCTTTGCTGGATTAGTTTTGAGTTCTGTAATCGAAATCGGCATACTTAAGCAGGCCACCGCAGGGGTTCAAAGTTGCCCCATAACGTATTTTCCATGCAAACCACACATTCGGTACTCTTCGGCATATCCCTACGGCAAAGTTCCGAACCGGACCTAGCTCATTTCAAAGATATTGACCAAGGCTGTTCACCACTTAAATATTTTTTCTGGGATCCGGGCCCGTCTGGCCACCACAGGGGTTCCAAGTATGCCCAGTAACGTATTTTCCTTACAAACCACACATTCGATACTCCTCGGCATATCCCTACGGCAAAGTTCCGAACCGGACCTAGCTCAGTTCAAAGGTATTGACCCAGGCTATTCGCCACTTAATTATTTTTCTGGGATCCGTGCCCGTCTGGCCACCACAGGGGTTCAAAGTTGCCCCATTATGTATTTTCCATACAAACCACACATTCGGTACTCTTCGGCATATCCTTACGGCAAAGTTCCGAACCGGACCTAGCTCATTTTAAAGGTATTGACCCAGGCTATTCACCATTTAAATATTTTGTTTTGGGATCCGGGCCCGTCCGGCCACCACAGGGGTTCAAATCGGCCCCATAACGTATTTTCCATACAAACCACACATTCGGTACTCTTCGGTATATCCCTACGGCAAAGTTCCGAACCGGACTTAGCTCATTTCAAAGGTATTGACCCAGGCTATTCACCATTTAAATATTTTTCTGGATCCGGGCCCGACTGGCATCACAGGGGTTCCATGTATGCCAAGTAACGTATTTTCCTTACAAGCCACACATTCGGTACTCCTCGGCATATCCCTACGGCAAAGTTCCGAACCAGACCTAGCTCATTTCAAAGGTATTGACCCAGGCTATTCGCCACTTAAATATTTTTCTGGGATCCGGGCCCGTCTGGCCACCACAGTTTTAGTTATATGTCAATTGTTTGTAATGGCACATTTTATAAGGAAAAGTCAGTTTTAGATTAATAAATTAGTAATGTCGCATGCCGTACAAAATAGTCCACGTAGGATTATTATAGAAAATACTTTTTCACATTCAAAAAAGATTAACATTACATGTATATCGAATTGTTTTCATTTTATATATACAGAAATTGATATTGAAAATGGTTTCAATTGAAATACTGGATATTTGAGGATTCCGAGTGTATGGAAAGATTGTATGTAATTTTTCTCTCGTACATTGCATCATTTTTCTTTAGTTCATGGAATATATATATCACGGTTTCTCATATCTTACTTAAATCCATTATAAACAATATTAGTTGTTCTTTGATTTTTTTTAATTTTCTATTTCTACATTGTTTCTGTTCCTCTTTCTTAGTCATAAGGAATAAAAACGAGAAAAAGAACGAAAAAAAACGATTTTAAATTGTACAATTTTTTATTAAACAAACAGTGTCCTCCGAAAAAAGTGGCTGTTATCATTATTGGTATTTAAAACGGACTGAAATCTTTTGAGAATCACCACAAGCCGTGAAATTGTCGAATTCCGCTGTTAAATTATATAGTTTAACTAAGATTTTGAGATTTTTGGAACGTTTGAGTCTAAAATAGTTTTTTGGGTTTTTAGACGTATCATCAAAATTGGCTGCTGGAAAAACAGTGGCTGCTATCTTGATTGGCTGCTAAAAGTGGCTGCCAGCTTGAGTCTGGAATATGTTGTTGTCAGATAAATTTCCGTTTATGTGATGTAAAAATAGAATAACAGGATCACCGACTTCGGTATTTTGGATGAAACAAAAGTCAAAGTGGTGTTCGTGGTGAACAAAATACCATACATTAAACGTCCAAATTAACGTAACGTCATTACATTATTTTCGACGTTTTTCACTACCAACACGGTAACAGAAAAAATTAAGTCGGTGGGCTTATAATTATTCTATATAAACCAAACGGCAATTTATGTACACACAAAATATCGTTATTTTGAAGGTATGATGGTTTTAAGACATTTAATGAATGTTTTTTTTTTACTAATTTACCTACTATTAACTTGACCTTAAGCAAGTTGTGTCGTCATATCTTAATGTGTCATCCTGTGTCTTATCCCTATCTATCTTCGTGAATTTATGGACACCAATTTCTTCCTTGTCTTTACGAGACAAATATTTGTATTTGAAACTGGAGTTTTATTATTTTTTGTTTGTATGAAATGAACAATAATATTATATTGTATATGATTTTGCAATGGTTTCATTTTTTTTTAATTCTTACGACAATGTTAAAATATAAAATGTATATACTTTAAAAAGTCAACGTATAAGTTGCAGTTACGTTTTTGCTAGATATTGATGACTATCTCTACTATTACCATGATTGTCTTAGAATACAATTTAATTTCAACAGGATTTGATATTCCTGCCAATTCAGTTCTGATGAACAGATAAGAACAATGCCCTAATTTTTAACAACCCACAAGTCTTTGATAAGAAGGAATACACAAATTAGTGTACTTTGTTGTTTCTATCGTTATTTGTCTATTCAAAGATAATTTCAGATGTTTTACTGTATACTTTTTCTGTCTTTAACTTCCATGTACAAAGGACTATTACTTGACAATATTCAAACTGATGGAGACACGTCTGTGACCGACCAGAAGTATATCCAATTGTTTACATTAATTGTCGACGAAATGACGAGACGTTTTGAACTGGAAACATTAATAAATGAGCTCCAACATAACGTTTCCGTCCTAAAGCAGGATGACCAAACGTTAAAGGCGTCTTGGCAAATACCATTATCAAAGTTAACTAATAAAACAGTTGAAATGAAATACAGTGTCAATAAATTGAAGGAGGACCATATCTCACTAAATGCTAGCCATATCCGAGTGAAACTTTCACAGAAAAAGACGTTCGAAAGTCTACAAAACATGTCATTGATAGAAAACCAGCTTAATATTGTGAAACAGAAATTGGATAGGCTTACACATATAACCGAAATAATTAAAGAGGGAAACTATAATTTTTCCATAGTTCGTCAAGCCATTCGTAAAGAACATGATGAACTGATATTTCTGTGTACCAATCTTACAAAAGAACGAAATAACACGTCTGCCGAATGGATGCAATCTACTGATGATTCGGATATAAAAGCTCTTCAAGATGACATGAAAATGACACAGACTCATCTGAGTACCATGATAACCGAAACTGACAGTTCCAGGAAAATATATCAGATCCAGACTAAGAATATATTAAACGAGCTTCCTGGCCTTGAAAGAAGTTACAATGGTATATTTACCCGACTGAAACAGGCTGGTGAAAACCAAGACGTAGCTTTTGTAACTTTAATGGAGAAAGTCGCAAATATCAACAAAAAAGGTAAACTCTTCTAAAATGCGTATCATTTGTTATCTTGAGCATTATTCTGTGTAAGTGCCACTATTATTATTTTAGCCCATTTTGTGATGTTTTCGCGGGTAACGGCATAACAAGACAATTGGTAAATCTACTTCTATCTCTCTTACAACTGGTTTAAGTAAGATTAGTTATATATAATCTATTCTTATATTAATTTTTATTACAGTTGCTGTGACATCATGTGCAGACCCACGGAAAACGGCAGGCATTGTAACATTCCCATTTATAAAGTCCTCGGTAGGAATTACAGACCTAAACCGCTTTAGATACTCAGGAATTTTTCATTGTGAATCTCCAGGGTTATACATAATATCAGTGTATATAGTGTCATCTACAAGTCATGCATCTTATCGTGTGTACAAGAACTCACATCTATTAACAGATGTGCATATGACAGGAAATTCAAATGATTCTTTTGATTATGGAACAGGAACTGCACTACAAGCAGTTGATCTTAAAATAGATGATACGTTGTCAGTTGAACTCGGTAATAACGTCGCTATAGAAGGTGCCTCACTGTCGTGTATAACAATAATTAAAACTGTATAACTTTAGTGAATATTGTTTTGTTAAGTAAATATAAAAGTTATGCGGATAAAAAACTCATCAAAGTAATAAGTTTAAATCTAAGTCAGGCTTTTTAACTGATTTTTATAGTTTGTTCTGATTTTGTGCTGTTACACCACTGTCCCAGGTTAGGGGTAGGGTTGAGAGTGCTCCTGAACATAGCATTATCTTTTGAATTATTTCACATTTTGTCATGCTGGTAACTTTTATGGTACTATACGGTATTGGTTTTGCTCATTATTAAAGGCCGTACGGTGACCTATAGTCGTTTGCATCCTCGTCGTCTTTTGGTATTTTGTGGAAAGTTATTTCGTTTGCAATTATACCACTCTTCATGTTCATAGTTTTTATAATTTAATACGCCAAACGACCGAAGACTCTCAGTGAGGCACTCTTATTAACAGTTGGATGGAAGAGGCAAGAAAATACTGTTATCTTGTAGAGGTTCTGGAGGTCTAGCATATCGAACTGTTTCAACTTTAAGTTGTAACGAACCAGCTCTGAATAATGACAAAATACGTCAGTGGCATCTATTATTAACAAACACTATATCCCTGGGATGTGTTTTATTTGATTTTAGTCTCTGATGCATGTTTTTTTTATAATTAATTGTTTTTGGCTTTTAACTAGCTTTCAGTAACGGCAAGTACTCTCAAATCGTACTTTCGTGTTGAATTGATCTGTTGACACGATTTATAATGAATTTTTGTTGTTCAATTTTTACTTATTTTGTGTTATATCTCGTCTCACTATTTTCAATATGTATCACCTTTGAAAAGTATTTAGCATGACGATAAATTTTCACTTCTGTACCCGTATTTCCGTACTCCTAACAACAAAATTATTATATTTAAATTTACCTGTGTACGTTATTTTATTTAACGCCATTTTGTCCCAGGTTATAGTTGTCATTTTGACATTGGTATACATCCCCTTTTTTATTAATATTGTATTTATATTGTGTCATAGATCAAATTTATTCGTTCAGTGTATGTTTACTTGTTTTTGTTTCAATTGATATTTAATAGTGTGTCTTTCTATATTGTAATGTTACACTACTGTTTCAGGTTAGGGGAAGGTTGGCGCCTGTTAAAACGTTTAAACCCGCTGCATTTGTTTGCACCTGTCCTAAGTCAGGAACCTGTTGTTTAGTGGTCGTCGTTTGTTGATGTGGTTCATAAGTGTTTCTCGTTTCTCGTTTTTTATATAGATTAGACCTTTGGTTTTCCTGTTTGAATTGTTTACACTAGTCATTTTGGGGCCCTTTATAGCTTGCTGTTCGGTGTGAGCCAATGCTCCGTGTTGGAGGCCGTACTTTGACCTATAATTAATAACTTTTTTCACATTGTGACTTGGATGGAGTGTTGTCTAATTGGCACTCATACCACATCTTCTTATTTCTATTTACATAAGGCTCCGTACCAAAACAAGTTTTAAAATATCTATAAAATCTTAATTTATTACCATTGACTTTATTGTTATCATTCCATAAAAATAAAATTATAATTTGATGTGACGGTATGGTAATTACATTATCATCCTTTAAGACGGACGGATCATACATGTTCAGGACGAAGACATAAACAAAAAATAAAGTAGGAAGGTTGTGTAAGGTGTGGTCGCCCGGGATGGAGGGCGGAACATTTGGACTGCCACTGGAAAATGAGGATATATTGGATAGGGACAGACATTTTACTTTGCGACAGGTGACCTACTGACCGCTGTAAGCATGACACTCTACCAAAACGAAGCATTGGATTTAACATCCCCGTTCCGACCTCTAGTGGCTGGTCCCACTTTTTCAAGGGATTACCATATTCCTATACCCCGAGACAACCCTTTAGATGTCAATATATACTAGCTAGTTTTTGTAAATGTCAACAAATGATTCTCATGAGAACAATTCGTAATTATATGTCATTGTGTGTCAATGTCGAATGAAAGTAACACATAAAATCAGTTGTATATTACGCAAAACATCCCACTTGTAAAACAGTCGTTTCTGTTACAATAATGTTTCTTGGTTGCACAACCATAAAGGACTTGCCTCTGTATTTATACATCCCACAGAGCCGAACGGAGGACTCGCGGCATGGTCTCCAACCAGTTCTAAACGGCTGCGTATTTATCAGATACGATAATACGACCATGCGTTCGCTTTTTTCTCGTCAAGGTAATGGTTCCGTCTTTACTCACATTGAACAAAAATGAATTCGCCTTTTAAACCAAGAGTTCCAAGTGGTGAAGTTGAAATCGTCCCTTCGTAAATTATACGGGCGCCATCACGAGTTGGTTGACCGTTATTGAATATCCGTTTCACAGATGACAACGGATATGTTCCATTTGTCGTAACTACAATCCCGTCCCCTTTTCCCCGAATGTGACCTACCGAATTAGACTTATCACCGGGTTTGTACTAATATGAGCAACACGACATGTGCCACATGTGGAGCAGGATCTGCTCACCCTTCCGGAGCACCTGAGATCACCCCAGTATTTGGTGGGGTTCGTGTTGGTCAGTCTTTGGTTTTCTATGTTGTGTTTTGTGTACTGTTGTTTGTCTGTTTTTGTTTGTCTTTTTTTAGCCATGGCGTTGTCAGTTTATTTTCGACTTATGAGTTTGAATGTCCCTTTGGTATCCTGCACCTTTCTTTTAACAATCTGATTAAAATACAGTTCCTATATCCACGCTTCGCTTACAATGTACTAGGAGCACCTGAGATCATTGCCGGTTTTTGGTGGGGTTCGTGTTACTGAGTCTTTAGTTTTATAAGTTGTGTTTTGTGTACTGTTGTGTGTCTTTTCGTCGATTTTTGGTTTTTGCCATGGTATTGTCAGTTTGATTATGACTTGTTTATTTCGCCTCTCTTTTATATGTTTTTATTTTTATTTAAGGACATATAAACAAATGAAAACAAAACATGCAAAAATATTCTTTAAAAGGTAATTACCCTTTCTTATTTATTTGGTTCTAATACAAACATTTTATTCTATTTGGAGAAAATAGTATGACATCTAACTGACCTTTCTGTCTTCTTAGATCCCTGAATCTAGTTATTACTGTTTTTCCTTTTTGATTTGTATGCCCAAAATGCGCTGTATATCTTTGGTCTACCCTCTTCCCTCTATCGAGCCGCTTTGTATACAATACTACGAATTATGTAGGACTATTGAATTTCTTTTATCTACAATTGATCCAGTTATTCGAATTTCTATCATAAACTTCTTTTCTTTACTTCTCTCTAATGAAAAATCGTGACAGTCGAGTAAAGACATATTGTTTAGAAAGATTTGAATTGGAAACTTGCGACATATTTAAATGTACAGGAAAAGAAACACAGCTTAAAACTATCATTAAATTTACTCAAACATGATAAATGTGTTGAGGATTACATTGCTACATGTAATACATGTATTGGTTCAATACAAATTGTGCAACTGGATTCGAATTCAACTTTGAAATTTAATTTCCAAATTTACTAACCTATAATTGCCTTTGCTTTCAAACATTTCTAGCAAAAATTGTTATCTCGAATATACCTTTTAAAGTGGTAGGTCTTAATTTTCCAATTTTCCAATGAGTCTTTCTCTTGTAGAATTTGGAATGGAAGAAAATGAGGCTTTTTATTTTGCTCATAATTTTCTGTAGTTTCAACAACAAATCTATTACCACTGTGACTTTCGGGTATATGCAATTCGTTAAAATATTTCACATGGCGAACGTGTCTCGAGTTTATGAGCGATGTTCTGGTGACTTTGTGCTACGATTCCTACATTCTCTCTGCGGTTATAACGAGAACAAGACCAGCTTAGCAAATGTAGTACCAATTTGTTGTTTTGGTTGGAAGCGTCGGATGGATCTCAGATAAGCAGTTTTGAGTGCATATTAGTAAATGTGACTTAGTAGGTTATTGCCAGTGATTTAACGCCTCATTTCATTTAGCTTATGCCAAACTGCTAATTGGGCTAATTTGTAGGTTGATGCTAGATAATAGATATTCATTAAATGGTTCTGTCAAACGATTCAAAGACCACAACACTAAAAAACTCCTGACTTATATGAAAAAAGTTCTCTCATCTTAATAAACATACATGTATGAAGGAATTTTTCATATAAATAATTATCAGACTATTATTATTCGTCCACTGTCTTTAATTGTGCGTTTAAGAATTTAGAATAAAGATGCCGGTTAAGAATTTTAAAGTAGCAGTCAAATAAGTTTACGTGCAAAATACGTGACACTCTCTAAACACAGGGAAATAAATTGAAGTCGGAAATATTACGTTTCCGATCAAACATCCTTCTTCCCTGGCATGGGTCTATCCAGAATTCTTGGAAGTCCAGGTTGCCATATTTCTTTATTTCTAATGTCGACACTGTGCGGTGGTTCTCGAAAACCTTTGCTAACCATTGCATTTTTTATCTTTCTTTAAAACATTCTATAGCGTAAGTTTTAGCTATTTTTGAATATGTAGAATACGATTGTTTGCTAGGATTACATAACTCTTATCGGATATTTTAATGCAGGAGGCCAGCTTTTTGCGTTTATCTTCTTAATATCCCTTCATAAAATGATAAATTCACGCATTTTATAAGAAGGAGATGTGGTATGGTTGTCATGTAACAACTGAAAGACCAAATGACAAGGATGTAAACAAATTTGTTTTAAGACAACTAGATACTGAGGGGGCAGACAGGGGGTACCTTTCTCCTTTCTCCCTCCCCTTATCTCCTTTCTCCCACCCCCTTTCTCCTTTCTCCCGCCCCTTTTCTCCTTTCTCCCACCCCCTTTCTCTTGTCTCCCGACCTCAACATGAAAAAGTAATGTATAGAAATCTCGTTTTAATAAAAATCGATCAAATTTGTTGCTTTTTTTATAGCTAGTCCCTGTCTTGTCCTTTCACAAGATAGAAATGTTGTTTCTTCTGCTTCAAGAACCTCAATATTATTTTCACTGACTGTTAAGCTGTCTGTTTGCATTGAATTTGCAACTGAGTTTGATGCACGTCGTTTCCCGATGATTTTTTTTAAAGTAGAAATCCAAATGCTGCTAAATAATAAGAAAAAAATATTTGTTACGAAGAAATTCGATATGATTTCGGAAGTATACCTCATGAGGATAGGCCTACGTATACATGAGCATAACCGAAACACCTCGTTTAGTATAAGAAACACAGACCAGATCTGGATTTCTATTCTAAAAATACACACACGCAATAATTATACTACAAGCATGGAAATGTGAATGTCTTAAAAAATATGAAAATAAATTCTGAAAAATGTATTCCACAACAAGAAATATGAGTATACCAGCTCCAAATTACTCTAAATATATGCACATAGAAAATGGAATTAATTACGAAGGATTATAATAAGATATACTGGATTGGTCCTGGACCTGATTGATTTTAATATAGGTGCAAGTTAATTTACGCTTCGGTGTACAGGAATGGTGGTATTTTTTTTTGTTTGAGCTGGACATGCTGTACAGGTACAGATGATGAAAAATGCACCATTTCATAAAACGGTGAGTCAAAACGATTCATATGATTAACAAAGGTGTCTTTTTGGGGATGGACACAATGCTGACATGACTCCATGAGCGTCGGAAAAAGTCAGAAGGTATTTACGATCTTTAAAAGAGATTTTATAACAAGTACATATACAAGTATGTATGTTAAATAAAAGTGTTGTAAATGGAGATATGGGAAATTCAATAAGACTGCAACTGGCCAATTAACGACACACAAAAACCAGAGCCATCTAGATAACACAGGACAAATGCAGGATGGACGAGAATTTTTATACTGCTAATTTGTAGATTTAGAAAAGATAATTTGGTCCCTTGAATTTGAAAG